GCTGCCTGCCTGGGAGAAGGGCCTGGACACTGGCCTTCCTTACTGCCCAGGACGGTGACTCCGAACGGGAGTCTCAGGAGCCTGTGAAATGAGACCTATCCTTCCCTCCCCAGGGCCCCCCGAGACACCATAGGCTTAAGGCTGGGCACATCGGGGTGCTTGGTTCAAGGCGTTCCTGCCTTACCCTTTTCCAACTGACTCTTTTTTAAAATTTGAGGTGAAACACATAATATTTTAAAGTATACACTTCAGCGGCGTTTCGTGCATTCACGATGTTGGGTAATCACTCCCTCTATCTAGTTCCAGAACATTCCTATCACCTCCAAAGTAGACCCCACGTCCCTTAGCAGTCACTCCCCCTTAACCCTTCCCCATGCCTGGGCAGCCGCTCGTCTGCCTTCAGACCCTGCGGATTTGCCCGGACGGTTCACTAAGTGGATCATACACTACGCGACCCTTTGGGTCTGGCTCATTTTACTTCCAATTAGCTCTTTGTTCCCTGACATCCTCTCCCAGTGCTATTTCCTCTTCGTGGGGTAGCTGTGAGTAGCCAGGAGCGCTGCCTGGCCCGCTGCACGTGGTCGGTAAAAGCCAGCGTGATTCCTTGCATACCGCCCGGGGCGCCCAGAGATGCTCTGAAGTTTACCTAAGCCACCTGGTGGGTGAACCAGCCTTTCCTTAGCGGGCACCTTGCAGGCAGATCAGCTGGGCCCTGGAGCCTCCGACCCTCTGGACAGAAGCAAGGTCATTTTTCTGAAAATCAGCTTCGTCCTCAGGGCGGCAGAGCGTGGAGCGGTGAGGAGCTGTGTGAAGCGCTGCCCAGTCTCTCCGACCCCCCATTTCCACATTGCATTAGCTTCCTGTGGCTGCCACCATCATTATTACATACCGGGTGGCTTCATACGACACATACTTATGTTCTTACAGTTCTGAAGTCCAAACTCAAGCTGTGGACAAAGCCACGCTCCATCCAGAGGCTCTCATGAGGGACCCTTCCCGCCTCTCCCAGCTTCCGGTGGCTCCAGGTGCTCCTCGGCTTGTGGCCACATCGCTCCAACCTCCGCTTCCGTCATCACGTGGCCTGCTCCCCTCCGTGTCTCCCTGTCTGTCTTATAAGGACAACCGTCATTGCGTTAGGGCCCACCTGGCTTATCCAGGATGAGATCATCTCGAGATCCTCAACTCAGTGGCATCTGCTGAGGCCCTTTTTCCAAATAAGTTCACGTTCATGGGTTCCAGAGTTAGGACACAGACGTATCCTTCC